TTTTTTTTTTTTTTTTTTTTTTTTTAAGACCCATTGTCGGGTTGTTTTTAATTGTCTAAAAAAAATTATTTATCCACAATACATATTACACGTTAATAACTAAAATCTCATAAAATTCAAATATTAAACATTCTAAGTGTAATTAGTTTTTAAAACTCATGATATCGATATAGTATCTACTTCTTACTTTTGTAGACTAGGTCAAGGGCAACGACATAAAGTATCGAAAAGGCTCCGACTCCAAGAAGAAGTATCAAGCGTTGTGGGGGTGGACTGCAATACATTCAACCATGTCACTATGACCTCGAAGCAATTTTCTTCTAGTTGTCTTTCTTGTTTTCTTGTTGTTCCTAATGATGATGAGTCAAGAAGGAATCGACTCGGGTTTAAAGGACAATGTCAAGAGAGACGTGGTTGAACCTTCAAAGTGTTCGGTAAGAAGCCATGTGAGATTCCACATCAGTTGGAGATCTCACATTGTGTGGAAACTTCTCCCTAATAGACAAGTTTTAAAATTGTGAGGCTGATGACAATATGCAACAAGCTAAAACGGACAATATCTACTAGCAGTAGGCTTAGATTGTTACAAGCTAAGGCTTGGTTAAGGCTTGACCAAACCTTCGAGAGTTTGGCCAAAGGCCAATGCTGAATGATCCTTCCAATGGTCGATGTAGTGGATCTGATGCGAAAGCTATCATAACCATACAACTAATCTCGAACTCTAAAAAGTAGTTTAGACAAGTCAAAGGCCATCTCATCATAAATAGTTATGTTCATCAACATGATAACGAAAATTGTTTGAATCATTACTCAATCAAAAAAACCCTAAATTCTCGAAGAGAGCTTATAATGTGATTATATCAGTTATCCGTCTTTACTATAAAATAAGGAGAATACGACATTAAAAGGGATGTAAAAACTACTTACAAAGTCTCTAATCTAACCTATTCTCAAACTCGATTACTAACTTAAATATCAGAGTGTAAGCAGCTTAGCACCACACCGATGTTCACTTCTTTTGTTTAGAAGACATAATCGTTCTCGTTAACAAATTCACGATTGATTCAAAAATTCAAAATTGAGGATCAACATCAATAACTAAACATGTTTTTATTGAACATGCAAATTATTATAGTCCATCAAACAATCACTCCTCCAAATGGAAGCTAACTGTGTGTCTCTCTCTCTCATGTTGCGTGACAAAATGTGTCATAGACTTGCATGAATTATTGACATGGTGTAGGATAGAGAGAGAAACACAGTCCATTTTTAGGGGAGAGAGAGAGTCCATTTTACTTTAAAATGAAGAGAAAAAAAGGGAAGAAGAAATAAAGAAAAGGAAAATAGGGGATGGAGTCTGATTGTTGCAGCCCTACAAGAGGACACTAACCCTTGTCTGGTGGGTCATCTCTCAAAGGCCACACATTGGAACAAAATCTAATCTTCAACTCAATTTCACTTAAAAACTATATGTTAAAAAATTTCTAAGCTATTTTATATGCAATTCAATTATATCGTTGAGAAGTAAGTTTAGGGACTAAATTGTTACAAAATCTAAAGTGACTGATTTGATTATTTACAAATCGAAGTTCAGGAATGGTAACGATAACATGTGAAGAATTGACCACACGACTAGATCAGCGTCTTGCGGCTTTGAGATAAGGATTGTTGAAGTACGAGCAGCTAAGCGAACAGTTACAATATGATAATTCAAGTGCAACACAAGAGTGATGCGAACGATGAGGAATCGGTAAGTTCAAATGAGAAATTGTTTATGACAAGTCATAAATTTTCAAATTTGCTAAATGGGTAACGGTTGGATCATAATTCTTATGATTTTGTCAAAGAAATGATATAAAACGCTCATCGAACGACCGCATTCACAAAATTTCCAACCGCTCACCAGAAATCATGCTAGTTCCACTAGCGGATCAACAAACAACTCAAACTCAACCAGTGCAGTATGAATAATATTGTGAGATCTCACATCAATTGGAGAGGAGAACAAAACACTTCTTGTAAGGGTGTGCAAACCTCTCTCTACTTGACGAAATTTTAAACCTCGACGCTGACGGTGATACGTAACGAGCAAAACAGACAATATCTACTAGCAATGGGTTTGAGCTATTACAAATGTATCAGAGCCAGACACCGAGTAGCAAGGGGGTAAATTATGAGATCCCACATCGATTATAAGATCTCACATTAGTTGGAGGGAAGAACGGAAATTTCTTATAAGGGTGTGGAAACATCTCCCTAGTACACGTGTTTTAAAATCGTGAGGCTGACGACGATACGTAACGAGTCAAAGCGGACAATATCTACCTAGAGATAAGTTTGGGCTATCGTAACATCGAAATTCATAAACTTTCATTAATGTATTAAGACGTACACGAATTCATGGTATACATATTAAAATAACATTCAAAGTAGCCCAAATTGGACTCATTCATAAAGATATTATTAGCAACCAAACAAAGAATAAATAATAGTTTAAAAGCAAAAGACAGAGCTAAAAAAAAACCTCGAATAAATCAAAAAACACTGTAAGTTTGACCGTCAAAAAGGGAATCAAAGAGGGTAAAACACATGGCCTTCAAAGCTATAAAAACCCTTCATAAGAATAATATATTAATCGGAGTGAAATATGAAAAGTAAAAAATATAATTAATCTCGGTAATCTGATCATAATTATGGTGAAAGCAAACTTTTTAAGAGGGAGAGAGAAACTTTAGACCTAGTAATCATCCTCTTAGGGTTAGCTTCTTTTTAAAATTTTACTGCTGTTTTTTAACAGTGAACCCATGTGGGTTGCATGCCAAACCCTACTTAATTCTATATGTTAATATAATATAAAGTTTTTAATGGCAAGTGTGTATCATATATTTGTATTTTATTTTTAGTGCATGCTTGAGAATGAATGAATATAGTATTGAGAGATTTGTAATGTGTATGGAATAGTCTTCTAAATTTGAACATGAAATAATTAGTCTATGATATTTGCTAGAGAAGGATTGAAATGGGTATTTGTATTTGTGAAATGGAAGGTTTGGAAATGAAGTTCGTGTTAGCCTAAATGAGTTGTGTCGATAACAATCCAAGCCCTCTATTAGCAGATATTGTTAGTTTTGGCTCGTTACGTATCGTTGTCAGCCTCATGGTTTTAAAATGCGTTTACTAGGGAGACGTTTTCATACCCTTGTAAGGAATGTTTTCTTTCCATCTTCAACTGACGTGAGATTTTACAATCTACCCTTCTTGGAGGCTTAATGTCCTTGTTGCATACTGCCTGGTATTTGGTTCTGATACCATTTGTGATAGTACAAGCTCACCGCTAGTAGATATTGTCTACTTTGGCTCGTTATGTATCGTTATCAGCCTCACAGTTTAAAAACGCGTCTACTATGAAGAGGTTTTCACACCCTTATAAGGAATGTTTTGTTTGTCTCTTCAACTGATGTGAGATCTTACAATCCACCCTTCTTTGGAGCTTAACGTCCTCACTGGCACACCGCTCGGTATTTGGCTCTGATACCATTTGTAATAGCTCAAGCCCACCGCTAGCAGATATTGTTTACTATGGCTCGTTACGTATCACCATTAGTCTTATGATTTTAAAACGTGTCTATTATGGAGAGGTTTTCACACCCTTATAAGGAATTCTTGGTTCTCTTCTCCAACCCATGTGGGATCTTACAATCCACCCTCTTTGGTGGCTTTACGTTCTCGCTAGCACACCACCCGATATTTGACTCTAATACCATTTGTAATAGCCCAAGCTCATCGCTAGCAGATATTGTCTACATTGGCTCATTACGTATCGCATCAGTCTCACGATTTTAAAACGTGTCTATTTATGGAGAGGCTTCACGCCCTTATAAGAAATGTTTTGTCTCCCTCTCCAACCGATATGGGATCTCATAGACACTTAATGGTTTCAATATTTCCTTACATCTCATGTGACATGACCACATTATTTTTTTGTCATGAAATACTTCTATGAGGATTGGAATCTAGATTCGACATCTAATAGCTCCGACATTTTCTTGCATTTCTTGTGACATGATCATATTATTTGCTTATCATAAAGTGCTTCTAAGAAGATTTTGAATCCAAATTCGACACCTAATAACTCAGATATTCTCTTCCAATCCGTCTGACGTGACCATATTATCGGCTTGTCATGAACTACATCTAAGAGTGAAGTCTATCCCCACAATGATATGTCCTCGCTCAATGATTTTTAGAAAGATTGCTAAGAAGTCATCAAGCGGAATTGTTCTAAGAAAAACACTAACTTTATAAGTATAAAGTATCTCTCTTGTAAGGTTTTCTCCATCATAATTTTGCATCCTTATGATCACTCTCGTTTTATTGTGGTCTCGATTTGTTCATGTATCTCTCATTTACTCGGACATCGATTTCAAATTTAAAAAGTCAGATTAAATATTGGTGAAAAATATTGAAAATATGATTTTAAAAACAAATAAAAAATATTTTTTAAGAATTACATTAGATAGCCTACTTAGACAAGCCTAGATACCAAATGCTTCTTTATGCGTCATGGGCCTGACAAAATTTTCAGTATTTTTCCAATTTTGAATATTGTTAATAATATTTTTTAGTACAGTTGTAAATTTTTTTTTTGTACGACCAAGTCTACAAATTATTGCCACGTTTTTTTTTTTTTTAATAATTGGACTAGCTCCATGATTCCGCGTGTTACTCATGTCACGTGTGGTTAAATTATTTCTTTGTATCAATAATGGGAAAGAAAAATTCCGACACTAGGACACTCAAATAAAGAAAGGTGCATGAATAAACCGAGATCATATTGAAATAAGAACGATCTTGAGTATATGATGATTAAGAAAGACTTGTTGACTTTCTTCTTCCTTCATACTGGGCCAAGCCTTTAGGTTGTTTAACTAGGTTGGGCTAGGTTAGGTTGATCTTTTGGAGTGATCTTCAATCAGGGTCCTCGCTCCCATCATACGTCTTGCAGCTTTATCTAAGCGGGTTTGGGCTAAGTCGTTGTGCTCCTGTTCCACCTCTAGGCAAAGTAGGCTGATGGGCAAGACCCCTCCAGTTGTAATGGTGTGGGGTGTCAGAGGTTGTTGCTTCGTGACCAACTCTCAGGGGCTGAAGTTCGACGCAGAGCTTTTTGGTTCTTCAGTTATAACAACATTGAGCAAGATCCAATAGCTCCACTCCTACAGGTTTCCATTGAAGTGCCTTAAGTAGCCCTCGAAGAGTTTGTTTATTCTCTCCTTGTTTTCAAAGATATACTGACCAAAGGAAATGAAATTACTATTTGTACCAGCAAGGTGCACTTTTTTTCCGATGACTCAATCATAGAAACTTCATAGCTAAGTATGTTTTGGTTTGAGAATTATATGTTGAGTGACCTAGAAATTTTTCTAGGACATAAGGACTCAGGTTGGTTTATGGAGATAATTTTTACTTTTAAAAGCAAGGAGTAAGTATTCATGTTAGAATTTAACTATTACGATCCTAAAAATAACGAGCTTAACTATTCATGTTTGCTATTAGAATCCCTAAACTCAAATACAAAGCTATAATGAAACTACAAATAAGAAGAAATGAAAGAAACTATGGTCATGTGTCAATATTTGTCCATGCTGAGATGTCCACTAACCCGATAAGTTAAAAGATGAATTTATAGACACTGAATTAGGGTCTTGATGTTGTCCTTCAAAATGTCTTTTTATCAGATATAAGGGCTGTGTCGAGACGTTTTACTGTAGTGTCTTCGACATCTCAAGACTATGACACATTTTTTCTATGGAACAACTTTGCAAGATTTATTTTCATGGCATCTTGACACTATGGTACGTCTTGTTGTTGTGGTCATATGGCTTGGGAAGCTATAAATTGAGCGTCTAGATGCTTTGGTTTCGAGTTTTTTGGTCATACGATGTAATGGCCAAAGCCCACCGCTAGTAGATATTGTCATCTTTGGACATTCCCTTTCGAGCCTTCTTCTCAAGGCTTTAAAGCGCGTTTACTTCACTCCCTTAGGATGTTGTTTCGTTCTCCTCCCCAACTAATGTGAGATATCACAATCCACCCTGTTTAGGGCTCAGCGTCCTCAATAGCACTCGCGTCCTCCATAGCACTCGTTCCTTTCTCCAATCGATGTGGGACCCCACCAAATCTACCCCAGCCCAGCGTCCTTACTGGCACGTCGCCTCAAATATCTGTGTGATTGTTCGGGTGTTCATCAATTGAGTTGGATTAGGTTGGATCAGGATTGAAAATTTGTTTAGACTCTATCTAATTGTTCTGATTGTAAAATTTTCAACTCAAAGAACGGAACTCAACCCAACAATGTAAGATTTTTTGTTTGGGTGAGGTCAAATTGGAATTGAAAATTTGTTCCGACTTGATCTAATTGTTTGAGTTGTAAAATTTTCAACTCAAACAACCGAACCCAACCCATCCATAAGTTTTTTTTATTATTGTTGGAGTCATTTATTGAAATTTTTGTTGTAATAAAAAGTAATAGTTAAGAAACGTCTATTTATACATTTTCAAATATTGAATTAAATAAAAATAAAATAAATATGTGTATATATAATTTTTTAGTCAATAAAATTGTATATTTTAAAGTTATTAGGTTGGTTTGGCTCAACCTAATTTCGTTTTAAGAGAACTCATGAATCAAATTATATAAGTTGGGTTGAGTTGATCGAATTTTTTTAACACTCCTCGTGGATAATCACCAACGCATCCATAAATAATAAATAGTAAGTATATCAAACCAAATTTCAATTCTAAATCAGTGTCGCCAGCTATTTCAAAGTTCGTTCCTTCATCGTTTCATTGAGAGCTTACAATTAGGTTGTTTACTAATTATTTTTATACTTACCCTTTTCATTTTAGGTGTTTGCAGGTTGCCGATCGAGGTGGGGAGTTTTCGAGAGCTGTGTGGTCATAGAGAGGATCGTCTACGAGTGTTAGTTCGTCTTTGTGTGTCTTTTATATTTTATTTGTTGTGTATCCCAAACACGTTCCATATTTGTAATAAACTTGAACAACATGTCTGCTGTTTGTTTTATCTTAACGCAAATTTTACCATATTTTGTACTTTTATTTTATTCATCTTTGACCAATAGAAATTGATTTGAAACAAGAGTCATTTTCGTCTTTTAACACGATATATTGGACTTTTGATCCTCGTTACCTTCATTCCAACATAAATTAGCTTCTGTTTTAAGATTTTAACGAATCAGATCTCTCGATAGTTCTGAGTATTTTATTTGAACATGGTGAAGGACGTAAAAAGCATGCAAAATTGGGTCGAAGTAGCACCGTCGACTTTTGTATCATATCGACGGTTTTCGAGTTGCCCTAAGTTGGAAACCATTCTTGAAGAAGGATCGGACCCATTTGAGAACTTATCAAAGAGAGTATTATTTGTTTTTCCATTTTTACTCTCAAAATCAAAATCGATTTTGTTCGAATACAATCTTTTTTTCGTCATTTTGCATTTGTGTTCTTTCTCAAGAATGGAATCTTATCCGTGGGACAATAACTCCAAACTAGTTCAGTAGATAAGAAAGTTGCATTCTAGCTTAGTAAAAAATGAGTCGACAATGGTTTGACTAGTTGGAGGTTGACTTTTGAATCAAATAAAGTCAAGCTCGAGCAATGCCAAAAAGTCAATTCATTTACCATTAAAATATGGGACGAAAATTCATGTGATTGAGAAAACCGTACATGAAGCAATGACTTACATGGTTTTTAGTATATAAACGAAAGTAGACTTATTTAGTCCAACTTTTTGCTCTCGTTTTCTTTCGTTTCGATATTCCTCAATCGTTTTCATTTTCATTCACTACTGTTTCCACTCGTGAATAAAAGAAGAAGATGTTCACCACCGACTCTTTTGTCTTACGTTGTTGCAGAAGTGTCATATCGTTGTAGGATTTTCCGAATTTCCAATTCAACGTATAATTCTAATTCAAATAAATAATAACGAGATCATTAATCTTACGAAGATTTCAAATTCAAAACACAGTTCTCAACCAACTATAATACTGATCACCGGCTTACAAACATATATCAAAATTTTGTTCAAGAATTTAGTTTACTTATTTGAAAAAGTCGGGACAAATTTTAATTTTCCTAATTCAATATATTCTAACAAAACGGTCACAATCAAACATCTCATCTGATACCGTTCCATATTAATTCAACACAATAGTATGAAAAGAAGTAAAAACGAATAAAATGAGTTAGCTATCATAATTTTTTTGCATAATGATCAAATAATTAATATAAATAAAGATGTCAATTTAATAATATTAAATGCTCGTAAGATAAGAACAAAAAAAAAAAAAATTTAACTAAAATTTAGCCGTTGATTTTGACTCTTTGCATCGATTTAACTCGAATCAGTCTATTTTATTAGTTTGGATCTATTTCTATGTGTTCATTATCATCATGGATTAAACTCGTTCTCTTACAACCGTTTTTATTACTACGACGGTTATCAACTACTAGGGCAATCGATGAACGAGAATAATTATAAGAACATGTTTGAGAAAAAAACAAGTTTTTTTTCTTTCTCTTACCGGTTTGGATCAATTTGGTCTATTTCATTAGTTTGGATCTATTTCTACGTGTTAGTTATAATCATGGATTAAACTCATTCTCTTACGACCGTTCTTATTACTACAACGGTTATCGACTACTAGGGCAATCGAGCAACGAGAACAATTATAAGAACATGTTTGAGAAAAAAAAAGTTTTTTTTATCTCTCTCTCTCTCTTACCCGTTTGGATTGATTCGGTCTATTTCATCCATTTGGATCTATTTCTACGTGTTCATTATCATCATGGATTAAGCTCATTCTCTTACGACCGTTCTTATTACTACTATAGTTATCGACTACTAGGGTAATCGAGCAACGAGAAAAAAAAAGTTTTTTTTTTTATAATTTCTCTCTCTTACGCGTTTGGATCGATTCGGTCTATTTCATCGGTTTGGATCAATTTCTACGTGTTCATTATCATCATGGATTAAGCTCATTTTCTTACGACCGTTCTTATTACTACTACAGTTATCGACTACTAGGGTAATCGAGCAACGAGGAAAAAAAAGTTTTTTTTTTTATAATTTCTCTCTCTTACCCGTTTGGATCGATTCAGCCGTTTTGATCTATTTCTACGTGTTCGTTGTCATCATTGATTAAGCTCATTCTCTTACAACCGTTCTTATTACTACTATGGTTATCAACTAGTAGGGTAATCGAGCAACAAGAATAAGTTATAAGAACATTCTCTTACGAACGTTCTTATTACTACTATGGTTATCGACTAGTAGGGTAATCGAGCAACAAGAATAAGTTATAAGAACATGTTTGAGAAAAAAAGTTTTTTTAAACTCTCTCGCTCTTACCCGTATGGATCGATACTCTCTATTTCATCCGTTTGAATCTATTTCTACGTGTTCGTTATTATCATGGATTAAACTCATTTTCTTACGACCGTTCTTATTACTACGACCGTTATCGACTACTAGGGCAATCGAGGAACGAGAACAATTACAAGAATGAGAAAAAAAAAGAATTTTTTTTTATAATTTCTCTCTCTTACCCGTTTACTCAAAGGGTCTTTTGTTGTATCTTCCCTTATCAGTCATCAACCACTACCGCTTTTCCCCACTTCCCACTTTCCCCCCATTTCGACCCTTCCTTCGATCATTCCCATTTTTTCACCTCCATTCTTCTTCATCACTCCCTCAATTTGAATTTCAGCTGCGTCGATTTTGCTGCAAAACTGGTCTGAGCGTTAATGGAATCGGAGGACGAGCTGGACATGCACGATGCCCACGACGACGACGACGACGACTCTGTTGACAATGAGGAGGACTTCTACAGTGGCGGCGAAGATGATGCTGCCGCCATCGACAGCGACGATGCTGATGTCGGCGATTATGAGTTTGTTGATAATGATTCCGACGATTCCGATGATATGGTCTCCTACAGACACCAGGTCGATACTGTTCTTGTTCTTGTTTCGAACTTTGTGTGGTTTTGATTGTCTCTAGTTTTTAGTGTTGGTGGTGAATGCTGGTATTGGCCGATTAATCTCAATTTCGTGTTTTGTACAGTTTCTTTGTTTTTCTTCCCCTAATTGAGACCGAGATTGGGATTTTTGGCCTCTTTTTAGAAATGTATAATTAGTCAGTGTTTCTGACAACATTTTCTGCTTTCTGTCTCTTTGAAATCTAAATGGAAAATGGAAATCACAATGGTTATGATAATCTTTATCATTTTGTTGATATGGGTTTGTTTCAGTTTGATGGTTTAATTGGTTGCTTAAGTGAAAGTAAACTCTTGGGGATTATTAATTTTAATTATGTATCTTGAAATGTAGAATTTAGAATAGTTGTGGGGAAGGATTGGAGATTTTTCAAGTGTTTCTTTCTTCGTGAATTTTGAGGTATGGTGGCTGGTCTTTTTAGGGCAGTAGTTGAGCTTGCTGGTAGTGGTTTATCAAGTAGAAATAATATCTCTAGAGGTAACCGAGGATCTTTTGTTTCTGCCAAGCAACGATTCCTTCGCGGTTTAAGTTTTTGGATGCTTTCCATTACTACAGCTGTTTTGGATTAGACTTGTGAGATCCCACATTGGTTGGGGAGGAGAACGAAACACTCTTTGTAAGGGTGTGGAAACAAATCCCTAGCAAACGCGTTTTAAAAACCTTGAGGGAAAGTCTGAAAAGGAAAGCCCAAAGAGGGCAATATTTGCTAGCGGTGGGCCTGGGACGTTACAAGATTGGCCGGGAATCTGGTGGTTTAGGCGATTGTAGGGCATAAATTCGAGAACCGTTGGATGGTTTTGTGGACCAATGCTTCTGGTGTTCTTCTCTTCGAACATTTGCCAGATCATAATGGGGAAAAAAATTGAGGATGAATAGACAGAAGAGAGTAGCTTTGAGATTGTTCATTATGTCTCTATGGTCCCTGAACTGCAACAGTTTTGTAATTAAAACATAACAGTTATCGTGACTAGTTGGAAATCCTTACATTATCTTCCTATGGAACAATTTTTTATTTTCTTATCTCAGAAATTTTCGTGGGCGAGACTGTTCAATGTCTCAAAAACAGATTTAAATTGTTCCAAACAAGTCTGCCACTTTTTAGTATCCTTCAGTGCAGGTCAGACTAGAATTTCCTTCTTGGACCATTGAAACTCCCGAAATTTTCCTTCATGGCCAAGGTCCTTTGACCGGTCTCCATGCTACCCAATTTTCTTGGCTGGGATACTCCCATGATCATATTGATATTACCCCTAGTTCCCGAGGTGGAAGTTCTCTACCAGACTAACCCCTTGTGTGAGAAAGACCACTCCTCAACATATTCCTTTTCATTTGACTGAAATTCTCTTGCCCATTGGATGTTTTGAGACTAGAGAATCCATAAAATTGGGTAGCCTCACAAGCCATGAGAACCAACACTGAAGTCTAGTTCTACTCTACTTCAAGCTTCATGAACTAGGAACTATCAATCCCTCCACAATTTTAAGTGATAATTCAGCGACCTCGTCAGCTCCATGAGAGGAAATGTAAGTTAAGGTTCCTGTGAGATCCCACATCGGTTGGGGAGGAGAACGAAACATTCTTTATAAGGGTGTGGAAACATCTCCCTAGTAGATGTGTTTTAAAAAAAACGTTGAGAGGAAGCCCGAAAGGGAAAGTCCAAAGAGGTTAATATTTGCTAGCGGCGGCTTGGGCCGTTACAGTTCCACTTCTTCTTCCTAACCTTTCTATTCATCTTGACCCAAGAACACTTTCAATTCCTTTGTTTGTACAATGTTGTGTTTTGAATTTATATTGCATTGAAAATGGAGGTTATTCTATTTCTTACCTTTAATTCACCTTCAAATTTTTTGTTTGAAGGGTCGAGTCTTTGCTTGGCTAAAGTGTGCTCCTCCTCATCACCATTTGGATTCAAATGGTTTTTGACCATTAACTGCACTTTGGTTTATCCCGTGGAGTTGGGACGTATAGGGATATGAGAGCTATTACTAGTATAAAATAAACTGAAGATCTCATGATGCTATCAGCCACCTATCTTTATCAGTAGAAAATTACAAAAAAGCCCCCAATTAATTGGGAGGTTCTTAGTTTCTTCTATTACTGTCAATTGAAAAGCCTATTAATTCCATTGCGTTGGGTTTTGGTTTCTCCTAGGCCACATTTTCCGTGTACATAATAATGACTGTTAGTTTTCTAATTCAAAAGAAAACAGGCCCCATTCTTTTATTCTTGTACTAATGTTTCACAATGAACTATCTGTATAATTTTTCAGCAAAACTATATAATCTTGGCCGAGGCAGATATACGGCAACGACAGGAGGAAGACATTATGAGAGTATCTACTGTTCTTTCTATTTCAAAAGTAGCAGCTAGCATCCTGCTCCGATATTACAACTGGTATAAATTCACTACTTGTATGTCAAGTACTTCAATACAGATGATTCACATGATGGACTCTATTAATGTGAAGTACTGTCTTAACATTTCTTATTACATAGCATTGTAGATTTAGTTATTAGACCACAATGTTGTTCTTTAGGACTTTACATAACATGTCTTGCACCGGTATCCACATTATGTTTTCTCCACTTTATAAGTATCATATACTCGATTTGTTGTTTTAAATTTTTGGGATTCTAAATCGATCTGACTTTGCAGGAGTGTCAGTAAAGTGCATGATGAATGGTTTGCGGATGAAGAAAAGGTCCGTAGAGCTGTTGGCATATTAGAAAAACCAGTTTTGCCGCATTCAAATGCACTAGAAGTAAGCAGCTCGTTTTCTTTTTTAAAATTTAATTGTTTTTGCATAACTATTGCTTGGAAAAATTGAGAATGCGATGATATTCCTTGTTCTTTGGCAGCTACCTTGTGGTATATGTTTTGAAATCTATTCACGTGATAACATTCAGTCTGCTGCTTGTGGCCATCCATTTTGCAACACTTGTTGGACAGGTTTGCCAACTTATAACAAGCCATTTTTGTGAACTCTCTATCATTTACTTAGTTCTACTTTGTTCTTTTCTTTGATTAAAAAGAAAAAAAAGGAGGCTGTAGGATAATCCATAAGAGACACATCTGACCTATAACATTTTTCCATGTAAATGATCCTCCAAGGTGAAAGAATTGCAAATATTACTACACTTCTCATGGAAACGACATGAATTGTTACCAAAAGAAGTGAAGTTAGTGTGAGGAGGATGGAAGAAAGTTTTATGGAATTCAAATAATGCTAGATAAATGTGTAGACATAAATGGAATGGATTTAAAGGAACTTGATCATCTAGACTGCCTGACAAGTTCAATGGCATCAGTGATATAGGGGGTTACTGAATAAAGATAGAAGTTCATAGGAGGTTTAAAAATCAGAGAGCTGTAATACGTGGGGTTAAATGAATCAGAAGCTCACATCATTACATTGGCAATTATATGATAGAGTTGAAAGGACAGTGGATGTGACTACTCAGGATTGTATCCCATGACATTCTTCCTTGGTGTTGTGCTGCAATGGTGTGTCCTTCCTAGACAGCAATGAGGATTTGGATCTTATTTTGGAGAGCTGTCAGCTTACTTCATTTTGGAGTTGCTTTATTTGTTCGGTGGCCTTGCTGTGCAATTGGGAGTCGCTTTTTGATAGAAGAGGTCTTAATGAACTCTTCTTTCTGAGATAAGGAAAGAGTCTTGTGGCATGCTGGTTTCGCTATTTTGGTGGGGAGTGTGGCTTGAGAGGAATAACTCGATTTTTAGTTTGGTGGAGAGATCTTTGGAGGAGGAATAACTAGATTGCTTAGGACGCCTCCCCTTAAAAGTCATGCTCCCTAGGGGAGAAGAAACCCTACTAGGCATGGCATTGGGGTGGGGAAGTGAGACTAGATTTTGATCATCTCCATTTGGGGATTAAATTTCCCGTTGGAGAAAAAAAAAAAAAACGTTTTCGAATTATTCTCTTTTTAACCCAAGCATGAATGCCAAAAATATCCAAACCTTTAATGTCAAAGAAAAACACAAGGGACTCTAAAGCGCTCGGAAGTTTGCATTTCAATTATATAGCAAACGCTTCAATGCTTCGACGCTTCAACTTCAAATGTGCATAAAATATACCAAGGAAATAGATACTATTGAGTTACTTCTTTGATGGAAAGATCTCAAATGTATGTTTCTAACCCAAAAGCCAAAGAAACCCTTCAATCGTGGACAAGAGTCCATTGAGTCGACGTAAATCACAGGAAAATAGTTTTTCTTTCATGGCTTATAGATCAGAAAAGAAAAAGTAGAAAAAGAAAAGACTTCTTCACAAAGCTATAGTGTTTAAATTCTCTTATCTATCATGCTAAAGATATCTTTTTATTTCGCTCTCTCTTTGTGTGCATTGTAGGTTATATTAGGACATCTATCAATGATGGTCCAGGATGTCTTATGTTGCGGTGTCCAGATCCATCTTGTGGTGCTGCTGTTGGTCAAGATATGATAAATTTATTGGCTTCTGATGATGACAAAAAGAAGTACTCCCGCTATTTTGTTCGATCCTATGTTGAAGACAATAGGAAGGTACTTTACAATTCAAACTTTTTCTTCCAATGCACTTCTGGTTCTAATACGTATGAATAGCCTAAATAACGACTTCTTTTTATATTTATCTGATTTAAAAATATTTCATTTCGAAAGCATCATAAATTATTTAAAAGAAACATCGCAAGTTATAGATGTTCCTGCTCAATGAACATGTTTCCCATTTAGATGTTTCTGATGTATGATAATTATTCAGTTAGGTTAAACGTTTGCTTCAGTAATGTTGGTGTTCGTATTAGGCATGGTTAATGTCAGCTTACTGTTTCTTTGTAGACCAAATGGTGTCCCGCTCCAGGATGCGACTATGCTGTAGATTTTATAGTTGGAAGTGGAAGCTATGATGTTACATGCAGATGCTCCTATAGCTTTTGCTGGAATGTGAGTCAACTCCATATTGCTTATTAACTATATCTTTTATTCATATCCATGATTTCAAGGTGCACCCTGGCACTCTCGTATGGCGAGAGGTGATGTGAGGGGCACGTTGATTGCCTATGCGGTATGTGAGGCGAGCAACTTCAATAAGTTGCTTTCCTTTTACACCTTCCAGTTGCCATGCACATATGTCTATGACAATATATGCACTCGCCCCCATATCATTCTTTAATTGTTCTTTTTCTTTTCTTTTTTTCACTTCTTCAATTCTTCTTTATTAATTCTTTAATCCCACTTCTTTGTCAATTCTTTAACTGGGGAGAAGAATCAAAGTTTGAAGACGAACTACCAGATGGCAATGTTTATGAATGCCATAAGTACTACAATTCTGGTTTCATTGTCATTTAATTTCAAACAGGTTAATTAATATTCTGTATAACACTTATTTCTTATGGGGGAGCTAGTCAGTTTGGTTCTCCCATTTTGACTCAAACTGGGAGAATCGACATCCTCGGCTATCTTAAATGTAAAACCAAACTAGGTTTAGGCATATTGGGCCAGTAAAGTAAAAAAAGACCATAGAGGGAGTGAGGGCTCGCCAGTGGGTCAATTGCCGACGACAAGGAGATGGACTATTCGACAGCATGATCTACACCCAAGGAGGCTGAATTGGCAGACATCAAGACCAGATTTGACTTGAGGAGGCCAGGATTATAATAGATCTGACATGAGGAGGTCAGAATTGCAACAGATCTGATGCAAAAAAAGTGAGAAAAAAGATAAACTATTACGTGTCGGTTGTAGAGTGCAAGGTTTTTGGTTTTCTTATCTTGGCTTTCCATTAGGTGGTAATTATCAAGCGGTATCCTTATGGGTGCAATGGTGAAATGAGAGTTGGAAGAACCTTTTCCTTTCCAAGCTGGAAGAACCTTTCCCCAAGGAAGATCTTACACTATTTTTGTCTCCTCAAAGCCTCCATTGAAGGAGACTAGCTCTATCACGTTAGTTTAACACACACACACACACACAAAGCTCAAGAAAGCAAAACTTATCTTGTTGGCAGCAAGGGAAGAGCAATCTTGGAGACAAAAATGTAAAAAACAATGGTTAGAGGAGGATGATATAAACTCCAAAATTTTCCATCGTATCATGGCTTCAAAGAAACGAAAGAGTACCATCATGGAAATTCTATTGACACGAGGCAGAAGTTTAGTAAGAGAAGATGAAATTGTATCAGAATTTGTGACGTTTTACACGTCCTTATATACAAAGGATGATAGCCTCATTGAATTTCTCCATGGTCTTGATTGGAGCCCAATTGATCAACAACAAGCAGCCTCTATCGAGGTTGCATTCATCAGCAAACAACTTTTGTAGAGAACGAAAGATCCTTGATGCATCCCTCATGGAAAATGAACTTATAGATGAATGGAAAAGAAAGAAACAAAAAGGTGTAGCCAAAAAACTTGACTTGGAAAAAACCTTTAACAAGGTTGATTGGCTTTCCTCGAAAACATTCTTGTGGCAAAAGGCTTTGGTTCAAAGTGGTGAGGGTGGATAAAAGGATGCATTTCATCTACGAACTTCTCCATTATCATCAATGAAGACTGAGTGGAAAGATCTTTGCCACATGGGGTCTTCAACAAGGGGATCCATTATCTCCTTGTCTTTTCATACTGGTGATGGATTTCTTCAGCCACCAACTTACAAAAGCCAAATACGAAGGGGAGATAAAGGGCTTTCAGGTTAGTAACGAAAGCTTAAGCATCAACCACCTTCAATTTGTGGATGATACAATCCACTTCTCTGATTTGTCAGATGTCTCTTCCATATAAACATGATCGAGATGGTAAAAACCTTCGAAAGATCTTCAAGACAAAATATCAATCTCCAAGAAAATAGAGATTTATGGGCATCAATGGTAGCACATAGATTATCAAAGACTTTTCCATTGAATATGTACCTAGGATTACCCTTAAAAGCAAACCACAAATCATTTTCCTTGAAGACTATTATTGAAAGAATAGAAAGAAGGTCGTTAACATGGTCATGATGTTATACTTCCAAAGGTGGAAGACTCACCTTAATACAAGCCACACTGTCCAACCTCTCCACGTACTACATGTCTCTATTCGAGATGCCACAAAAAGTGGCTACGAATATAGAAAGATTATTCAGAAACTATTTGTGGAAAGATGACTCATACCTTGTTCAATGGAATATCATGAACTTCCCAACAGACAAGGGAAGACTTGGTCTATTTTTGATAAAGGAAAAGAACAAAGCTCTCCTCGCAAAATGGATATGGAGATATCATCACGAAGAAAATGCCTTCCAGAGAAAACTTGTAAAGTCTAAATATACTCCTGCATCATGTACAAATTGACCCCACCTATCTTCTGCAGAGGGGCCATAGAAGTACCTAAAAAAACACCAAAACCTCATCACCAACCAATTCGCCTGAGGGTGGGTGATGGGGGAATCACATCATTTTGGACCGACCCTTGGATTGAAAACACCATGCTAGCCCTGGTATATCCATTTTTGTTTTGATTCTCATAGCAAAATAGTCATCACCAAAGAAACATGGAATGATGTCAACAATTTATGGGACTTGAAGTTCGTTAGGAACCATAAGGATAATAAAGCCACTGAATGGACCGAATTAAGACTCGGTCTTGCCCCAATTGTATTGTCGAATAAAGTAGACTCATTGACATGGCTACCTAGTGCTACTGAGGTCTTGTCTACAAAATCTTTGACGATGGACATAGAAAAAAAAGTAGAAGCAATAAATCTCACGCTAGAAAAGACAATATGGAAAGGAAACCACCCTAAGAAAATGAGTTTCTCCTTAGGAAAATAACGCATAAAGCCATTGGCACAAGTGTAAATCTTAAAAAAAAGAATGCCCTACATGACTCTACTTCCAAATGGGTACACAGTACGCCAACATCTCATAAATTTTTTAAAAAAATTGTTGACATCACTATGCAGTTGGACAAGTTGGTCAAGATTTTAAAGAGAGCAAGTTTTTGACCACTTATCTCTCCAGTGTTCTTTTGCCTCGGTGGGCCTTTATCCTCAAGAAATTTCTTTTCTCTGTTTGTCTGCCTAATCATGTCAAGGACTGGTTCATTGAGGGGCCAAGTGGCCGATACTTGAAAGGAAAAATGATTCTGGGGAATTACGTAGCTAGGGTGCTTTTGTCGTGGGGCATTTGGTCGGAGAGGAATCAAAGAGTATTTGAAAACAAAGTAGCTTTCTTTGATGATTTTAGTGTCCAGAGCACCACCAGTTTTGAAGTTGCACCCTTTTTCACAATCCTTTGAGATTGGAGAGCTCATCTTTTGGAGGGGGTCTTTCTTCCCTTGCCCATAGGTTGTTACTTTCTTTGTCTATCTGTTGACAAGGTTTCACATTAAAAAGAAATAGAAAAAGAAGCAGAACTATTTCATTTAGAGGGAAGCTGGAGTATATGAAGGCTCTCCAACCGGTTTGGATTATAAACAAAGGATAATTACAAGAAACCTTCGATGTAAGAGCCCAGAAAAAGGAAAATAATGTCATTCCATAGACGATCTTTGGACTACTATTTGTCTTTGAAGACTATTGTTTCTTTCGATTCACAATAGCATCATGTGCTGGTTGAGGTTTTTCCCTGTATAAGCTCTGCAATGCTGCACGAGCCATCAAACCCAAAATAGTAGTAGTAGAAATTATTGGGATTTTCTGGGAAGGAGCTTCACGTCTTGGGTTTTTTATCATCTGGGAGAGAAAAAGTTGATTATAGTGTTATGTGGACATGACCTGGAAGGTAAACAGAAAATATTGGAATGAATGCTTTTGAAGAATCCATTTGGACTATTTGGTTAGAAAGATATGATATGGTATACAATGTCAAGAACAGAGATTGGGGGGAGTTCTGGATTTGTCTAAGTTTCATTGGTCATCCTGGTGTTCATTGTCTAAATGTGTTGTATATTCAATTCGACAATCTACTTCGATTGGGGTAGTTCTTTTTTGTTACTTGTTTTCTCTGTCGGAATTTGTTTGGTTCGGTATTTTGTATTGTAACTTTTTACTCGTCAATGTTAAAAAAAAACAATCTACTTATAATTTTCATTATAATCATAATAAAAAAAATGACCTTTTGCAGTGTACTGAGGAAGCTCATCGTCCTGTTGATTGTGGCACTGTAGCTAAATGGATCTTGAAGAATAGTGCTGAGTCAGAAAATATGAACTGGTACGCAATTGGTTCTTAAGAACTTTGACATATTGTTCAATTTCTTGATTAATTGTGGCCATTGGAAACTTCTTGAACGTAATACATTGAAAGATAGAAAAATGTTATTTGTGGCCATTGGAGTCTTGGGAGGTTGTTTGGAGTTTGTCATTGTAACAACTCAAGTCCACCGCTAGCAGATATTGTCCTCTATGGGCTTTACCTTTTGAGCTTTCCCTCAAGGTTTTTAAAACGCGTTTGCTAGGGGGAGATTTCCACACCCTTATAAAGAATGCTTCATCCTTCTCCCCAACCGATATGGGATCTGATCCCCTTAAGGGCCAGCGTTCTCGTTGGCACTCATTCCCTTCTCCAATCGATGTGGCACCCCTCAATCCATCCCCCTTCGGGGCTCAATGTCCTTGCTGGCACACCACCTCGTGTCCACTCTCTTCGAGGCTCAGCCTTCTTGCTGGCACATCGTCTGGTGTTTGGCTCTGATACCATTTGTAACAGCCCAAGCTGCCACTAACAGATATTGTCCTCTTTAGGTTTTCCTTTTCGGGTTTCCCCTCAAGGTTTTTAAAACGTGTCTGCTAGGGAGAAGTTTCCACACGCTTATAAAGATTGCTTTCACAACCCACCTCCCTTTGGGGTCCAACGTCCTCGTTGACACTCGTTCTTCTCTCCGATCGATGTGGGATCTCACGATCCACCTCCTTCGTGGCCAGCATCCTTGCTGGCACACCACCCGATGTCATAATCAATTACTTCCTTTTGGGGCGTTGAGTCAATACATGTGTATTAGTATTATTTTCTTTAGGAATTGTTATTGCTATTTCTCATAAGTTCTTTTCGGTGGTTTCAATGTCTGTTGGGCTGTGTTTTTGTAATCTTTCATGATGTGGCTTCTTTGAAAAAAAAAGTTGTAAATAATCATTTTATATCCTTCAAACTTTGTAGGTTGATTCAATTAAAACCCTAAACTAATAATGTTTCATCCATTAAAATTTTGAACTTTGCAAGTTGAGCCACATTATACCTCCATAAATTTTGTTAAAAAATAGTTTTTTCCTTAGAAAGCCAGGAAAAAGACATACCCAACTGCATGTTCATCTTTGTAATTTAATACACAAAATTGTTATAAGGGAACTTATAAAAGTTTAAAAAAGAACACTGTAGTCTAAGGAGTAATGAGACCAATATAGTAACCAGAAGAACGAGTTGCAAGAGAAACCTCCTGAAATGATCCCGAGTCTAAAATTGAGTCCCTACCCCCAAGAAGCGCATGTAGACCGTGGAGAATAGAAAGAAGTCCTGCAACATCGAAGGCCCTCTCTATCATAAAGATGATGAATAAAACCCAAATACAGCAAGGATGAGGGTCGAAGTACAGAAGAACTGTAACTTTTTGCTAAAGATATGATATAAATGCGAAAACAACTTAGGAAGGGGCTTTATAGCACTCCATTTTCACTTTGCATCACCCAGGCTCACTATTATAGCCGCTTAACTCAAAGCTTTCTTCCAATCATAGTTCATTGAACTGGTCAATTTTTTTAAACTCCATATCCAGTTTCATTTGACACCCTTCACCATTGATAAAACCATTAGCTTTACCTTTCTTCGTTGAAGCTATCGGGCCCAAGTTAGGGGCCTCACGAGGTATTGCCTAAATAGCACTGGAAGCAAGAGCGGCCTACCCAGAAGACCAATTACCACAATCGTCCCCATTACAAGGAAAACCATGAAAGCCTGAAGAATTAGACAAAAGTATAGGATCTCACACCAGCAACCAGCCACTAAAGGGAAGACCACCCCTCTCAACTCCACTACTTGAGACTTAAAAGAAAGGAGCAAAAGCTGAGACTTGATCTCCAAACAAAAAAACTGTCTGGGGAGGCAAGGCACTACCAAAAAGAGGATGGGAATTGACAAACACGAGACAATGCGTTAGGAAAAAAACTCAACTAAACCCCACCAGAGGGCACACCAAAAGGAAACGATGAAGGATATGACACGTCACTAGAACAAGACAATCTCCCCTTCTCCCAAGCCCAAACCGGATGTGGAAAGAATGAAAGGACAACATACCTGGCTAAGCTTACCAACAAAGTTTACCTCAATTTGTGAATGAGACAGACCCTGATCAACTGGGCACTTTTGTTGCACCACTGCAACAAACGAAGAAGGCAACCCACCACCTTAGGAGCAAAAGTACCTAACACTTGCTGATTAAAAGAAACAATGTCGATTTTCAAAGACCTATTCACACAACGAACCTCCGACAGTTAAGCTACAACACCCTCCAGTGGCTAGGCCACAATATCCTCACTCGGCCTACTCTGTGAGCAACTACCTTCAAGGGCCTCACCCTCCATGTTGAACATAAGCTCCAAATTCAACACCTTTGAATTCTTAGTTGCAAACGAAGAAAGAAAAGACTCATTTTATAAGTACCTGACAAGCAAATGATCAGATCTCACGTCCTCCTTGCCTAAAACTTAATTGAAGGATCAAAATCCTTAATCTAGTCTAACTTCATGAAATTGTTGGCTTCAAAACAAAATTGTTACCAATAATTGGTTCTTCAAACTCAACCATTGACCAAAGTTTAGATCACACGCAAGTCCAAGGATAGAACCTTGCAACACCTTTTCTTTTGCATTAACGATGAACAAATGGCCCCTTCAAAATTGTTCTCAACAAGCCCAATCATCCCACTAATCTTATGAGAAAGGCTCACGTCATCATGCCCAAGAGACCCCTCACCAGTTGGCTCACTAATCGCATAAGCTGCTAACTCCTTCATGTGACTCTTTGTATCCTAAATAATCTTACCTAAAACAACCGCTAGATTTGGCTGACAAAGGACAATTTTATCCATCAACCTTGTAGACTCTTGACTCTTATCAGAATCGGAGACAAACAACTGACCGACAACTAACCTAACCAATATGTACACCTTTTCATGATTCAAGAAGCACACCATCAAGATGAGACCATCCTCCTTTCCTTCGACCTTAAAACGAACTTCCTCTGACCAACAAACCTCGTCGAAGGTCTCTTCATCTTCTGTAAGTCCCCCGCACAAATGTGCTTCATATGTTTATAGCCATTGCTTCATACGTTTATAGCCATTTGCTGCCTCATACGTTTAAATGGGGGAATATCCATGGTTGTTACCTAACCACCATTAAAGAAGCAAGCTTTTCCCCTTTGTCAATAACCTTGAGTCCCATGAGTGAACAATACGGTCCTTCTCTTGCAATGTCGAACCATCTCTAGCCAAAGCCCTAGCTTCCCCTATGTTCCCACATAAACTCTTGCCAGGTTTGCAGCATAAGATTTAAGGATCAGCTCAACTTTAAGCTCTTTCACAATAACTTCTTTAATGACACTCCACTAAAGCCCAAAGTCTAACCTCTCAATAATAATTGTTGAGGAAAAATTGGACGCGAACTCTAGATTCGTTGAAGAATTGACAACGACATCCTTTCCACAGTTGGGTCCCCCTCTCACGGCTTACACGAAGAACTTAGGAATCACCTCCCCAGAATGAAGCACTTGTTTTTTAACCTCTTCCCCTTTAAAGAAACAAGGGCTTTGGATACTAGGACTAGGGGACAAAGAGTCGACAGTCATAGCCAGTAAGCCCCAACCCCTTAAGCCTCTCGGGCCTTTTAGAATTAAAAATAATGACTTTCTTCCTCGAAATGTTCTTTAGGAATTCAAAGGAGGCCAAACTGACCCCTTGCATTCGAGAAGAATTTGGAAGAAAATGATTGGCATATCTAACCTTGTCCTTTTTCAGAAGCCTATAGGAAACTATGCATGAGACAGCTACCAGGCAATCTTTTACTCATGAAAACTTTTCCAACTCCATTTCTAGAAAACCCACTCTCGAACCTCTACATTCCTCTAACAACAACTTTCTCCCATGCCCATACGTTTGAAGGTGAAGCACCTTTCTATTGATGTTCACCTTCTTCATCACTCCCCTAACTTGATTACATACTCAATAGGTAGCAAACCTTCATCCTAAGGATAGCACATTTTGTGTGCTATCAAGCATCGAGCTCAATGGTAAATAGTTCATTAATGGTAATGCTAATACTGCTGTTGTAGTTGATTTTGTATTTAAAGTTTCAAAGTTCTTATTTAGCTTCATCCAATTTTAATATACTTTTAATAACATGCAATGATCAGGATTCCAATGGTACTAAAATTTCTATAAACATTCTATTATAGCCACCTAATGTCCAGGCAGTGGTGTGGCCTACTGAAATCTCTTGTTATGTGTCTAATGTGTCTAAAGCTGTCCATTTGCTTCATAGTGTCTTGTATCAATTAGGTAAAACCAAGTTTCAAGTGCCCCCTATTAGTCACCTCCCGACCCCAAGCTATCCTATAAAAAAGACCATGTAAATGTGGAGCTTTATTACTACCGGACCCGAAATCCACCTTGCTGATCATTTCTTGTCAAGAAGGCTTTTCGAGGATTTTTTTTTTTTTTTTTTATGCTTCATACATAATAGTTTATAAAGGAAATTGATATTTTATTCAATTTGTTTAAGTTTTTTCTTTTGCATAATTGTTTGACCTCTAAAGTACTTGTTTCTTATGAGAAAACTAATGATCGTTGCATTGCTAGACATTTTCTGTAAACATTTTAATTGTATTTTGTTCGATTACGGTAAATATAACTTTATTGGTCTCAGGATATTGGCAAATTCCAAACCTTGTCCCAAATGCAAACGACCTATCGAGAAAAATCAAGGGTGCATGCATATTACTTGCACACCACCCTGTAAATTTGAGTTCTGCTGGTAATTTCGTGGCTTAAGATTTTTTTTTTAATGTCTTACCTTTTTTTTTTAATCTTATTATAAGCGGAAAAGGTTATCAAAATGCTTATAGGTTCTTTATTACTTTTAAAAATTGTTGAAAATTTTCACAGGCTTTGTCTTGGTCCATGGTCTGATCATGGAGAGAGGACTGGAGGATTTTATGCATGTAATCGCTATGAAACTGCAAAGCAAGAGGGAGTGGTATTGTTTATAGACTATTTATGTTGAACCATTATTATTTTCATGTTGCTACTCATTTTGTTTAGTATTTTATTTATGTTTCTTCGTCCTTGTTCATCAGTATGATGATGCTGAAAAGCGCAGAGAGATGGCCAAGAATTCTCTGGAGAGGTACACTCATTATTATGAAAGATGGGCCACGAACCAATCGGTATGCTTTCTTTTTTGCTCGCAAAGGAATAATACTCCAGACTTTTTTGAACGTATGCTCGTTTACTAGGACATATAACGTTGTGTTGGTATTTCCTTATACTCCTGTGTAAGACTATTGCTTAGACCTTGGTTGATAGATTGAGGAGAGTCCTTCCTAATAATATCTCGAGTTCTCGGGGGGGGGGGGGGCTTTTATTGGAGGGGGGCAAAATTTGGATCAATTG